ATGAAAGAGGGGGAGGCCTTCAACGAGATGGATTGATACGGTGGCTGCGATGATGGGATCAAGTATAGCAGGGATTGTGGGGCTGGCGTGGGATCGGGCAGTGTTTCGTTCTGCTGTGCATGGGGTCGCTATGAGTCGGAAACGACTTGACGGCACTTAACAACAACAACAACTTTAAATTCAGGTGGGATGTACTCAAGCTCATATTCTGGCTCTTGTGCACTTGTTTTAATTTTCTTAAGCGTTAACTTGAACTTGCAAAAGAGCAATTGAAACTCTTTTCTGCAGTTGGCCAATGGCCTTATTCTGACTGATGACAATGAATTTCTCCATCATCTCTTTACAAAAATGTAGTTGATTTGATTCCTGTGTAGTCCATCCAGTGAGGTCCATGCCATGTGTATAGCTGCAATTTGTGTTGTTGAAAAAAGGTTTTTGCAACGAATAAGTTGATGATCTTACAAAATTCTACCATGTGATCTCTGGTGGCAATTTTATCACCAAGGCAATATTTTCCAACTATTGATCCTTGTTTCTAACTTTTGCATTCCAATCAGTAATTATCAATGCATCCTGACTCTATTTTTGATCAATTTCAGACTGCAGTACTTGGTAAATTTCTTCATCTTTGGCACTAGTGGTTGGTGCCTAAATTTTAATAATAGTTGTATTAACTGGTCTTCCTTGTAGACAGACAGCTATTATCCTGTCACTGACAGTGAAAGGATAGGGGATGTTGGGTGGTTTAAAATCATGAAAGGTGTGAGCCAGGGTTATATGTTTTCACCATACTTATTCAGTCTTTCAGTGCAGTGAATTGCTTCATATAGCCCTTCTAGTCATCATCCTCCATTCTGTGATGTATTGTAAATCCTAATCCCTACACCTATTTAGGGTGGGATGTATCTTGAGATCTGCCTTGCTTCAAGATAGATCTTATGATGTTCTTTTGACGATGAATATAATGCCATTTCTCTTTAATTTGTCCTTCCCAGCAGAGTAGACTATTCATGATTGTCCAAATCAAAATGGCCCGTATCAGTCAATTTCAAATCACTAATGCCTACTATATCGATCTTTATGCATTCCATTTCATTTTTGACTTCCAATTTTCCTAGATTCATATTTCATACATTATAGGTTCTGATTATTAGTGTATGTTTGCAGCTCTTTCTTCTCATTACATAATTAAACACAGTTGGAAATTTAAATAGTAATAATAAATGCAAAGAAGAATCACTGACAAATAATTTGCAGATCAAAGTGAACAAATAAGGCCTTTAAGAATTTATAAGGGGAAAAATGATCTCTATATTTTTACTTTTCCTTGATAAACAATAAAAATACTTACATACTCATTTGGTCCAACTCATCTTGCATTGCCATCAACAGTTCAGACAAATTATCACAAATAGAAATGGAATTTTCTGAGTTAGGAGGTGCAGGTCTACACTGGGGAGTTCTGCTAGGCTTGGGGAAACATCGAGGCTCAGTCACTTTAGCGTGCTTCTCAAGGGTGTGTGGGCCACAACTTTGCGTCATCTGCAGCAGGTTTTGCATACTTGCACTCACAGAATGCCTTGCACTGACAGACTTAAGGGGAAAAGAAACAGCTAAGAACAATTTCAAATGACTGATGGTACTTAAGTATTACTTACAATAAAACAGTAGTTTTTTTGAACAAGTCTCTTCATTTGTTTGCCCCTACCTTCCCAGGCACAAAAGGTGGTGCTCCAAATGTTGAGTAACTTTGCTGAGGGAGCCCTCTCTTCAAACACTTAGTTTTCTAAAGAATATAAGGCAGAAAGTAAACAAAATAATTATTTTGAAAGACATTTATGATATAAAGAACTCTGAAAACTCAACAATAAAAAAACCAAACAGTACAATTATAAAACAGGCAAAAGACATAAACAGATATCTCCTTGATAAGGATATATAGATTTGGGAAATAAATACATGAAAAGAAAGTCAACATTATTAGCCATTAAGGAAACATAAGTTAAAACTCCAATCACTATGGTCTTATCAGAACAGCCAAAATAAAAATTAGGGACAACACCAGATACTGGCAAAAATGCAGAAAAACTGGATCACGCATCCATTTTTGGGAATGGAAAATGGCTCAACCACTCTAGAAAACAGTTTGGCAGTTTCTTGTGAAACTAAACATCTAATTAAACATATGATCCAGCAATTGCACTCTTGGGCATTTATCCCAGAGAAATGAAAATCTATGTTCACACAAAAACTTAAACACAAATGTTCATAGCACGTTTATTTTCAATAGCCCAAGACTGGAATCAATCCAAATGTCCTTTGTTGTTGTTGTTATGTGCCGTCGAGTCGGACCTGACTCCTAGTGACCCCTCCTTGCGTTTCCGAGGCCATTATCACTACAGAAGTAGATTGCCCAACCTTCCTTCCGAGGAGTGGCTGATGGGTTTGAACAGCCAGCCTTCTGATTAACAGTCAAGAGCCTTAGGCACTATGCTACCAGAGCTCCTCCAAATGTCCTTTAGTCGGTGAACACCTAAACATTCTGTAATATATTAATACCATGAAATACTATGCAACAACAAAAATAATATATTGATACATACAACAACTTAGATAGATGGATCTTCAGGGAATTAGGTGAGTAAAAAAACACTTTGTCCCCAAAGGTTACATGCTATATGATCCCATTTATATAACACTGTTGAAATAACAATTATAGGTGGCACAAATGGTTAAGAACTCAACTGCTAGTTGAAAAGCTGGTGGTTCAAATCCGCCTAGAGGTGCCCTGGAAGACCGGCCTCATGATCCGCTTCCAGAAGGTCACGGCCTTGAAAACCCCATGGAGCACAATGCTGCTCTGACACATGTGGGGTTGCTATGAGTGAGGATTGGCTCCACTGCAATTAACAACAACAAAAATGCCAGCCTCAAAAGGTCACATACTATATGATTTCATTTACATAACATGGCTGAAATAATAAAAATACCGAAGTGGAAAAAAGATTAGAAGTTGCCAGGGGTTAGGGACTGGGGATGTGTGGTTATAATGAGTACCATTAGGCAGCCTTATAGTGGTGGAATAGTTTTGTATACTGATTCTGGTGATGATGACATGAATCTACATAGCAATTAAAAAAAAAAAAAAAATCCAGAGAATGATGAACAAATACAGAATTGTGGATATCTCTGGGGGGAAAGGGTATGCAATTTAGGAGGGGCATATGAGGGGCTTTAACTGTGTTGGTAATGTTCTATTTCTTAAGCAGGGTGTAAGTACATCAGTGCTAATCTTATTATTCTTTAAGCAGACATTGTTTGTTATATATACTTTTTCATACATTTTTTTTTAAATAAACATTGCTAATCTTAGGAGCTCTGGTAGCATAGTGGCTAAAGCACTTGACTGCTAACCAGAAGGCTGGCGGTTCAAACCCCCAGCCACTCCTTGGAAGGAAGGTTGGGCAATCCTACTTCCGTAGTGATACTGCTTCAGAAACCCAAGGAGGGGTCGCTATGAGTTGGGACCGACTCGACGGCACATAACAACAACAACAACTATATTCTTAAACTCAAAAAATAAATTATTTTTCTAACCATTTTTATTATAGAAAGTGAACCATTTTTTACCAAAAGGATCAAACATCCCAATTTGTCCATGACTGAGGGAGTTCCTGGGATGCAGAACTTTTCAGTGTTAAAACCAGGAAAGTCTCAGACAGACCAGGGTAAGTTGGGTCACTCTAGTTAAGACATCAGCAAGAGGCTAATCCACCAAATGACAATATTCTATAATGAAAACAAAACACTCCTAGTTCTGAATGGAAATTTGGATATGTTAACTATTAAAATCACCAGAATTAAAAAAAAAAAACAAACCATTTCTATATTTAATAAGGGGGTGCTCTGGTGGCATAGTGCTTAAGGCATTTGACTGCTAACCAGAAGGCTGGCGGTTCAAACCCACCAGCCACTTCTCGGAAGGAAGGTTGGGCAATCTACTTCCGTAGTGATACTGCCTTGAAAATCCAAGGAGGGGTCACTATGAGTCGGGTCTGACTCGATGGCACGTAACAATAACAACAACAACAACAACAACATAAATCACCAGATTTTTAAGAAGAAAATTAAGGAACCCCTGAAACTCTGTCCTTTAGACATCCTTCAAGTCTAGAACTCTGTGGGTCAACATTGACCCAAACAATAGGCCTGTAAAGTGAAAAATACCAGGGAGGTGTGCACTTATTAGAGCAACCTATCATACAAGATCCAAAGGACATCATTTTCCTAGGGAGAAGCTAGAAAGGCAAAAAGGAATAGGAAAGAAGGATGAAGGGAAATGGCAAACACAGGGAGGAAGTGGAAAGCGTATTATTACACTATAGGAATTGCAATGAATGTCACAAAACAAAATGCATATGAATTGTTGAATGGAAAACCAATTTGCTCTGTAGACTTTCACCCAAATCACAAAATAAATAAATAAATAACCAAAATAAAAAACAAACTGCGTCAAGTCAGATCCAACTCATAGCGACCCCACCTTGGGTTTCCGAGGAAGTATCACTATGGAAGTAGATCACCTCATCTTCCTCCCGAGGAGTGGGTGGTGGGTTTGGACTGCCAGCCTTCTGGTTAGCAGTAAATGCCTTAGGCACTACACCACCATAGCTCCCAAATAAATAAACAGAAAAGAGAATTAAAGAAATAAAATAGTTGAGAGGTAGAGAAATTATAAAAGTTTGTGAGTCAGTTCTTCCTTCAGAGTTACTTGGTGACCTAGGTGATAATTTAATAAAATGATCTGGTCTAATGGTATTTCAAACAGTTGTAATTAAGAGCAAAAGAAATTTAAGTTAGTTTTTCTAGTCACTGAACTTCAGTTCAGAGGTCTCTAATTACAGTCTAACCTAATTAACAGAATAATGAAAACATCATAAAGAGACTTCCATCATCTTCTACCAGTATTCTGACAGTCTCTAGATTCTTTACTTCCAAACTCACCTTTTCATAATGCTGTCCGTTACTATCTAGAAGTACAGCTTTATGTCCCTATTTTCCTCAAAAACTTTCAATGATTTGTAACTGTTTACAAAATGAAAGTTCAAAGTCTTAACATGGCATTGGCGGTGGGCTATAAATTTCCTCCAAGCTATATTTTCAATTTTAACTCACTATGCCCCAATTTTAACTCACTATGTCACTTTTGGGTGCTAACCAAAAGGTTGGTGGTTTGAAGCCACCAGCTGCTCCACAGGAGAAAGATGAAGCAGTCTGCTTCTGCAAAGATTTATAGCCTTGGAAACCCTATATAGGCAGTTCTACTTTGTCCTATAGGACCGCTATGAGTCAGAATTGACTCAGTCGAAGTGGGTTTGGTTTGGTTTTTATGCCCTTGTAGCAACATCATGGAGAAAAGATTAAAGTTGTCAAGGAGTTAATTTTAATTGGATCCACAATCAACATCCATTGAAGCAGCAGTCAAGAAATGAAATAATGTATTGCATTGGGCAAATATGCTGCAAAAGACCTCAATAAATGTGTTTGTTTAAGAGCAAAGATGTCACTTTGAAAAGCCTAAGGTGTGCCCGATCCAAGCCATGGTATTTAAAAAAGTCTCATATACATGTGAAAGCTGGACATTGAATAAGAAGACTGCAAAAGAATTGATGCATTTGAATTATGATGTTGGCGAAGAATACTGAATATACCATGGGCTGCCAAAAGAACAAACAAATCTGTCTTGGAAGAAGTACAGTCAGAGTGTTCCTTAGAAGTGAGAACAGCCAGACTTTGTCTCTTGTACTTTGATCATGTTATCAGGAAAGGCAGTCCCTGGAGAAGGATATTATGCTTGGTACAAGGTCAATAAAAAGGAGGAAGACCCTCCAAGAGACAGATTGACATAGCAACTGCAACAGTGGGCTCAAACATAGCAAGAATTGTAAGGATGGCACAGGATTGGACAGTGTTTCATTTTGTTGTACATAAAGTCGCTATGAGTTGGATCTGACTCGACAGCCCCTAATAACAACAGTGCCCCATTTTGGAATCTCTGGGTGATGCAAACAGTTAAGAACTCAGTGACTAATTGAATCCACCCACAGGCACTGTGGTAGTTAAGTTTGTGTGTCAACTTGGCTGCGCCTGGCTGAGTGGCTGGGCAGCTGGATATAGTATTCCCCATGATGAAACTGGTAATCAACTCCATGGTGGAATCTACTGTGAGCAGTTGAGTAGTTGCGTTAAGGATGGTCTCTAGCTTATGGCACGCTTGCACCCATTCATGTAGCCAAGTCATGGTCTAGCAACCTGCCATGCTCTGCCGATCTTGGGATTTTTAATGGACTTGAGTTAATGGCCTGCCGTGTGGTTTGGTAATATCGGGACTGTGCCTTATTATTTGTCAACCTTGGGCTTGTCAGCCTCAGCAGCCAGCAGCTGAGTGAAGAAAAACCTCCAGCTTCAGTGGGCTAGGAGCAGGAGGCAGAGCTGAAGCCCAAGGTTGAGGCGCTTTCACCCAGCCCCTAGAGCCTGGTACTTTGAACTTGGAGTTCTCCAAATTGTAAGAATAAACTCCTGTTTGTTAAGGCCATCCTATTTGTGGTATATTCCTGTCAAAGTGGCACTAGGTAATCAAAACAAGCACCTTGGAAGAAAGGCCTAGCTATTTATATTTTCAATCTGCCACTGAAAACCTTATGGAGCACAGTTCTACTCTTGAAACATGGGGTCACGATGAGTTGGAACTGACTCAATGGCAAAATTTTTGTTTAAGCTCCATCTCACCCGCAGTACTGAATGACCTATCAGTTTGTGAAAAAAGTTACCTCAGACTGTAATGCACCTTTCCTTATCTCTGTCAGTACTTACTAATTCTCGATGGCTGCCTTTAATGATGCTTCTTGTGTGACCCCTCACATATTCCTTCATCTGCATAGCATACAATACTTTGCTTATGCCTGCACTAAGCTTTTATTACACTATGTCTTATGCTTGTATATTTATTTGCTTCTCTAAAAATTGGTTTTATTTATCTCTTTATCACCTACAGGTACCAGACTATGCAAATCATAAAGTGATGAGTGAAGTGAACCATGTCCAGGATAAGGGGAAACAGTTTCAGCAGGATGAGCAGGAGTCCCACAGAGACCTCATAAAATTGGACACTACCCTCAGCAACATCCATGCTCCTTCGATCTTTAAACGGAGGCATTATTTTCGGTAGAAGCTATGAATTTGAGATTTGACCTAGGTACTTTTTTTTGAAGTTTTTTTTTTTTTTTTTTTAATGTGTGTGTGTGTGTGTATGTCACTGAGGTGAAATTCACATGACAAAACTAACGATTTTAAAGTGAAGAACTCAGTGACATTTAGTACTCAAAATGTGTAACTACCATGTCTAAAATATTTTCTTTTCTTTTTTAGGATTTATTATTTAATTTCTATTGTGATTTGGGTGCAAGTTTATAGAGCAAATTCATTTTCCACACAGCAGTTCATATACATTTTGCTTATGACAGTGATTGCAATCTCCACAATGTAACAACAGCTCTCTTCCCACTTCCTCCCTATAGTTACCTGTTCCCCGTGTCCTTCCTTTCTATGCGTTCCTGCCCCTGAGCTATCTCCCTGGGCAAATACTGCTCTTCTGTTTTCCCATGACTGATTGTTCTAAGGAGTGTATCTACCTGGTGTAAATTTTCACCCTATATACCTGTCTATTGTTTGGCTGGAAGCCATGGGAGTGAGTTCAACTCCAGGCCTGAAGGGTAACTTGTGGGCACAGTCTCGAGGGTTTCACCAGGCTCTATCAGAACTGGTCTTTTTTATGATTTTGAGTTTTGTTCCACATTGTTCTCACTCTATTCAGGATCTCCTGTACTAATCCCTTTCTGTGTGGTTGACAGTGGTAGCTAGGCACCATCTAGTTCTTCTGGTCTTATGGTCATATAACCAAAACAAACTCACTGCCATCGAGTTGATTCTGACTCATAGCAACTCCCACTGGGTTTCTAAGGCAGTAAATCTTTGTGGAAGTAGATTGTTCTGTCTTCCTTCCGTGGAGTGGCTGGTGGGTTTGAACCACCAACCTTCTGGTTAGCAGTCAAATGTTTTAAGCATTGTGCCACTGGCGTTCCTCATGGTGATACAGCCTGTCCAAAACATTTTCATCATCCCAAAAGGAAACCTCTTACCCATTAAGCAGTTGCTCCTAATTTTCCTTCTCCTCAACCCCTGGTAGCCACCAATCTTGTGCGCTGTCTCTATGGATTTACCTATTTTGAATACTTCATGTAAATAGAATCATATAATAAGTGACCGTTTGTGTTTGACTTCTTTTCACTGAGCATAATGTTATTAAGATTCATCTGCCTTGTAGCATTTATCTTTTCTTCATTCCTTTTTATGGCTGAATAATATTCCATGCATGTATATGCTAGAGTTTGTTTATCTAATCATTTGTTGATGGAAATTTGGGTATTTCCGTTTTGGCTCTTGTAAATAGTACAGTTATGAACATGCATGTACATGTATTTGTTTTGAGTATCAGTTGTCAATTCTTTCAAGTACATTTAAAGGAGTGGAATTGCTGGGTCAAGTGGTAACTCTGTTTAACATTTTGAGTGAACTAAATACTTTTATAAAGTGATTTTACTGTTAATGATTCTCTTCTTTTCCAGGAGCTCCCTTTCCTTCCTTCATTTCTTTTATCTTCTCTTCCTGTATCTTTACTATTTTAACAACGAATAGGTAAATTGAGTTTAAAAGTAATTTCCATTAACTTAACAGACAAAGGATGCCATAAAACCTATCTTTTCCACATGCAAGATATCTACAGTGATTGTAAATAACATGCACAAACAAGGAACAAAGCAAATATTTAAGGAAAGAATTAAGCAACAAACAAGGTTATGCTACATTGGAAAAATGTTTTTATTATTATAGTTTACAAATTCTTTAAAAGAGAGTTATGAAAAATGAAGCCAGAGTATTGAACAGCAATTCTTATTTATACAATAAAAGAGGTGCTCTGGTAGTTTATTGCCTAAGGCATTTGACTGCTAACCAGAAGGTTGGTGGTTCAAACCCACAAGCCACTCCTCGGAAGAAAGACTGGGCAATCTACTTCTGTGGAGATACAGCCTTGGAAGTTGCCAAAGTTAGATGTAATGATCTCTCCGTTATAGTGACCACAAGGTGGGCCTATGGCAGTGGCCAGAGTTCCAAAACAGCATCCCTGGCTCCCACAGTGAATGGCACATAGAAATACTCTCTACATGCGTACAGAATAAATAGTAATAAGGGTCCTCTAAACTGTAATTTCAAAAATGTAAGATTGAAAGGTATTAAAATTTTTCTTCTTAGCATTATATAAGGCTAAGAATTAATACAATATATCCAAAACATCAAGTCATCTAAATAAAATACTCATCACTCTATAAAGTACTAACTCAACAATTAATCCTTATTTTTACGCAATCCTAAGGACATAAGCACAGAAAGAACAAATAATAATAAATTCCCTATAGAAATATGATTTTACACACCTATAATATAATATTATATCCTTTTTTTTAATTGTACATGCATTATATAAAACTATTTCAGTCAGCAGTTTTCTATTGCATTATAGTCTTCTATTGCCTTTTAAAAAAAGTATCATAAAATAAATTTCTCTAAGAGTTTAGTACTAGGAAAAAGTGTGTCTTTCTAGAAAAGCTGGAATGCTTCCTGTTATTTCACAAAAGCAGTTATATAGCCCATTATGTTCCTTTTCCTCTGGTTGTCAAATTTATTGCTAAGTTTTATGTTGAATGGTTGTTACTTCCTTTAACCTAGGTTTTATGGAGTTCTTAAAACCATCATCCCTTAATTCATGTTTTATTCCCATTTGGTGGCATTATTGCATGTCTTTTATTATAAATCTCTCCAAGTCCTTCTTAGAAAAGAATAGATTTTACCATTAAAAAGGTAAGTAAATAAGTATTAACAGATAAGGATAGAATATTGTTTGAAAAAAGTTTATATGCATACCTTTGAAGATTTCTTCTTTCCCTTAGAGTGTTTTAGATTTGAAACTGAAGACATTAAAATTCTATTGATTTCAAGTCCAGTTTGAAGCTATAATGGTAAACAACAAACTTATAAAATTGCTCTATGTAACAAGGATCTCAAAAACATAAAAATGTGAAATCAGATTCTCCATTTATAAATATAAGAAATGCTTTTTGAGGAAAAAAGGAAAGCCAAAAAAAATTAAAAAAAAAAATTTTTTGTAAAAGTCATTAGTCTTGTGGTAGTTAGGACCATTTTGTGTTAATAAGAATGCACTGCTTGATACTTTTATGAATCAAACTGAAAATAATCTATCCCAGGAGTTCTTTCAACTGAAAATACATGTATTTGTCAGAATTTCAAGAGACCAAAAAGTAAAACCCCTTGGTAGTACATCCAAGTATATGAATATATTGTCTGATTGAGAGTTCCATTATTATAGCAAAAACAGACCAAACTAACATTCTAAGAAGCAGAAATTAGAGTCTATCATATAGGCTTCAGTTAATGAAAAGTATAATAAAGCATGTGTGGCTTACTGTGGATTATGCAGTACTCTGTTTACCTCAGAAGCTTTGTCCTGAAATAGCTTACGCTGGTGTTCTTCTTCCTTAAGTTTTTCCTCTAAATGTTTAATCTTGTCCTGCAAAAGAATGAAAAACTAGGACTGTTACATAAAAATGAGCCAAATATTCTTTTCCAAATGGAGTCCTATTGGGTCTTGATTCTTAAGAGTTTGGCAAGTTAAAGCAGGGTGTAAGAAAATGGAATTGTAAAAGAAGCCAAGATTTTTCTTAGCTTTCTTCTTATGATTCTTTACCTGCTATTACAGATGAAAAACAAAGGGAAAGCAAAGAATGTAATATACTCATAGGCTTTATTAAATTCCAGCAACAATGTCATATGATGAAACTTTTAGAGATATTAAAGAAGACATATTAGAAATACAAGATAGAATCCTTGTTACTTAAGAGTTCATACTGTACTTAGGGAAACAAGAGTAATATCCATGAAACAACAAAACAACAAAGCAATGTATACGATCTGACCCAGACCATGTATACACTATAGACAGCCTTAAACACATATGCATTGTATCTTCTACCCAAGGTGTGGCTCAGAATAGGACAGTACTAGCTCAAAACTTTCTGAATGTTGGAGAACTCACAGAAGGCTTCATAGAGAAACAGGACTTGAAGAAAGTTCTATGAAATGGATAGGTTTAGGAGCTCTGGTAGCATAGTGGCTAAAGCACTTGACTGCTAACCAGAAGGCCGGCGGTTCAAACCCACCAGCCACTCCTCGGAAGGAAGGTTGGGCAATCCTACTTCTGTAGTGATACTGCCTTGGAAACCCAAGGAGGGGTCGCTATGAGTCGGGGCCGACTCGACGGCACATAACAACAACAACAGGGTGGGAACAAGGAGAGCATTTGGAAGGGATCTAGGATAGGCTTACTCTATCTGCAAGTGGTGAATGACAATCTTTTCAATATCCTTTTAAGTAAATTATTTGACAAATGAAAATATTCTGCCATCTTATAAGAAGTCAAAATTATAATATCACATTCAAAAGGCAAGCTTATTCATGCTGTGACAGAACACGTTAGTTTTCCATCTTTATAGACAGGAATTCACATCCAAATTACTCTAAATGAAGCTTTATAAATCTAATATAAAATTTACTGTACATTCATATTTTGTACATTCACCAATTGTGCTTAACACCAAAGATTTATTCCTGGCATCATCACTTCAAAGGACCAAGTGGAAGCTTACCTCAGCAGTTTTCTGTGTTGTTGTAAGTCTAAAACATTCTTTTTCTAAGATGTCAAGCTTTTCAAGTTTTGCATGCAGCTTCATATGATCTTGTTCTTTTTCCCTTTGAAGCTGTGCCTGGAAAGGATAAAAAAAA